ACAAGACCATATCATGACAGAAGTCACTCTTTCTTGTGTCTCACATCATCAACATAATGTCTCATTTTCCGTCAGCTGCTGCACCAGTCAGGCTGGTCAACTCTAATAACCGCTGCTCTGGCAGAGTGGAGTCTACCATGATGGTCGTGGGGACAGTGTGTGACGATGCCTGGGACCTCAGTGATGCTAACGTGTGTTGTAGACAGCTGGACTGTGGCCCTCCTCGTTCAGCATTACTAAATGCAACTTTTGGACAGGGCAGTGGACCCATCTGGTTGGATGATGTTGGTTGTTCTGCAACGAAATATCAATAACAGAGTGCAGACATCCAGGCTTGGGTCCACAACTGTAATCACGTTGAAGATGCCAGTCATCTGTGAAGGTTAATGTTTATACTTTTTTTTAAAACTCCCATTCTTGTTCTCCTATTTGTCTATTGAAGTGTTCTCGTGAATGAATCAAACACTGACCACATGTAATAAACGTTGTTTTGTAGCACTGTACATTCAAAGTGCAGTACTAGGTATAATATTTTAAATATATGGATCAAGATTTATGCCCAACTCTAACTTGACTGATGTTTGTGATAAAGAAAGAGATCATTTGCTCATAAATATTGATAACAATGTAGACTGTAGTTGTGTAGGACTTGATAGAGACTCTTCTTTTAGGTCAACCAGAATCTAACAGCACAGTTGTACCCACCACACCTGTTACAACACCTGGACATCACCATCGCTGAAGTGACAGCTGACATCCTCTCCACCACAACACCCGACAACAGCTCAGCAGTTGAGAGTGAGGTCCGTCTGGTTAACAGAGGAACCAGTCCTGCTCTGGCAGAGTAGAGATCTTCCACCGTGGACAGTGGGGACGGTGTGTGATGATCAATGGGGCCTGGCTGATGCTCAGGTGGTGTGCAGACAGATGGGCTGTGGCAGGGCACCATCAGTTGCCTATTTTGGACAGGGCAGTGGACCCATCTGGATGGATGATGTCTCTTGCACAGGCAGCGAATCAAAGCTTGGAGAGTGCAGGCACAGAGGTTTGGATCACACAACTGTGGACACAATGAAGACGCTGGTGTCGTCTGTGAAGGTAAATATAATTGTTTCGATCTGTCAGAAATTCGTTATGTGTTATATTCGGCAGAGAGGAGTTAAGTAATCAGGAACCTGATGGAGAAATATGAGTTTGATGCAAATATTATCGTCATGCCTTTCAACCTTTAGGAGTCTTTGTCCTGTTGAAGTAGATAGGTAGTATGTAGTTTTAACATATATCATTGTCTTTATGATGTTGAAGAGGGTTTTACTTGTCAGATAACTATTTGATTTACATGAAATATAATCTTTACACTTCTTAAGCTAGAGACTGTTACAATTTCTTTTTTAAACATCTTGTCTTTTGAAGTTGTCATGAATGTTAAAAAAAACAAAGGAGTGGTGCAGAAACTAACGTAAATATTTACGAACTGAAATATCCAAAAAGTCCAAAAGAAGAACACAAACCACGAGGAAACACTGACATCTACAACTAACATACAACAACTTACAATGATCTGAAAACACGAGGGAAGGAACACAAAGACTAAATAGACACAGGGTAATCAGACACAGGTGAGACGTATGACACAGGGAAACACAGAGACAGGAATTAAGACAAGAAACCCTGAGGACCAGAACTACAATATAAATCAGGAAACACTGAAGACACAAAGAGAACTCAAGAATGTAACAATAACAAAACACACTAGAACATAGAGAAGCACAAGAATATGTAATTACAAAATAAAACAGGAAACTCTAAAGATCAAACAAGGAAACATTGACACACAAGGGAAACAAGCAACACTAGAATAGACAATCATCAAGAAAGACAGAAAGTGACAACTGAGCAACACTAGGGAAGAATGAGAAATTAAAACAAGGAAAACTAAACACTGAAAATACACAACTAAACAAGACCATATCATGACAGAAGTCACTCTTTCTTGTGTCTCACATCATCAACATAATGTCTCATGTTTTCCGTCAGCTGCTGCACCAGTCAGGCTGGTCAACTCTAATAACCGCTGCTCTGGCAGAGTGGAGGTCTACCATGATGGTCGGTGGGGACAGTGTGTGACGATGCCTGGGACCTCAGTGATGCTAACGTGGTGTGTAGACAGCTGGACTGTGGCCCTCCTCGTTCAGCATTACTAAATGCAACTTTTGGACAGGGCAGTGGACCCATCTGGTTGGATGATGTTGGTTGTTCTGGCAACGAAATATCAATAACAGAGTGCAGACATCCAGGGCTTGGGGTCCACAACTGTAATCACGTTGAAGATGCCAGTGTCATCTGTGAAGGTTAATGTTTATACTTTTTTTTAAAACTCCCATTCTTGTTCTCCTATTTGTCTATTGAAGTGTTCTCGTGAATGAAGTCAAACACTGACCACATGTAATAAACGTTGTTTTGTAGCACTGTACATTCAAAGTGCAGTACTAGGTATAATATTTTAAATATATGGATCAAGATTTATGCCCAACTCTAACTTGACTGATGTTTGTGATAAAGAAAGAGATCATTTGCTCATAAATATTGATAACAATGTAGACTGTAGTTGTGTAAGGACTTGATAGAGACTCTTCTTTTAGGTCAACCAGAATCTAACAGCACAGTTGTACCCACCACACCTGTTACAACACCTGGGAACATCACCATCGCTGAAGTGACAGCTGACATCCTCTCCACCACAACACCCGACAACAGCTCAGCAGTTGAGAGTGAGGTCCGTCTGGTTAACAGAGGGAACCAGTCCTGCTCTGGCAGAGTAGAGATCTTCCACCGTGGACAGTGGGGGACGGTGTGTGATGATCAATGGGGCCTGGCTGATGCTCAGGTGGTGTGCAGACAGATGGGCTGTGGCAGGGCACCATCAGTTGCCTATTTTGGACAGGGCAGTGGACCCATCTGGATGGATGATGTCTCTTGCACAGGCAGCGAATCAAAGCTTGGAGAGTGCAGGCACAGAGGGTTTGGATCACACAACTGTGGACACAATGAAGACGCTGGTGTCGTCTGTGAAGGTAAATATAATTGTTTCGATCTGTCAGAAATTCGTTATGGTGTTATATTCGGCAGAGAGGAGTTAAGTAATCAGGAACCTGATGGAGAAATATGAGTTTGATGCAAATATTATCGTCATGCCTTTCAACCTTTAGGAGTCTTTGTCCTGTTGAAGTAGATAGGTAGTATGTAGTTTTAACATATATCATTGTCTTTATGATGTTGAAGAGGGTTTTACTTGTCAGATAACTATTTGATTTACATGAAATATAATCTTTACACTTCTTAAGCTAGAGACTGTTACAATTTCTTTTTTAAACATCTTGTCTTTTGAAGTTGTCATGAATGTTAAAAAAAACAAAGGAGGTGGACCCTATTGCAGAAACTAACGTAAATATTTACGAACTGAAATATCCAAAAAGTCCAAAAGAAGAACACAAACCACGAGGAAACACTGACATCTACAACTAACATACAACAACTTACAATGATCTGAAAACACGAGGGAAGGAACACAAAGACTAAATAGACACAGGGTAATCAGACACAGGTGAGACGTATGACACAGGGAAACACAGAGACAGGAATTAAGACAAGAAACCCTGAGGACCAGAACTACAATATAAATCAGGAAACACTGAAGACACAAAGAGAACTCAAGAATGTAACAATAACAAAACACACTAGAACATAGAGAAGCACAAGAATATGTAATTACAAAATAAAACAGGAAACTCTAAAGATCAAACAAGGAAACATTGACACACAAGGGAAACAAGCAACACTAGAATAGACAATCATCAAGAAAGACAGAAAGTGACAACTGAGCAACACTAGGGAAGAATGAGAAATTAAAACAAGGAAAACTAAACACTGAAAATACACAACTAAACAAGACCATATCATGACAGAAGTCACTCTTTCTTGTGTCTCACATCATCAACATAATGTCTCATGTTTTCCGTCAGCTGCTGCACCAGTCAGGCTGGTCAACTCTAATAACCGCTGCTCTGGCAGAGTGGAGGTCTACCATGATGGTCGGTGGGGACAGTGTGTGACGATGCCTGGGACCTCAGTGATGCTAACGTGGTGTGTAGACAGCTGGACTGTGGCCCTCCTCGTTCAGCATTACTAAATGCAACTTTTGGACAGGGCAGTGGACCCATCTGGTTGGATGATGTTGGTTGTTCTGGCAACGAAATATCAATAACAGAGTGCAGACATCCAGGGCTTGGGGTCCACAACTGTAATCACGTTGAAGATGCCAGTGTCATCTGTGAAGGTTAATGTTTATACTTTTTTTAAAACTCCATTCTTGTTCTCCTATTTGTCTATTGAAGTGTTCTCGTGAATGAAATCAAACACTGACCACATGTAATAAACGTTGTTTTGTAGCACTGTACATTCAAAGTGCAGTACTAGGTATAATATTTTAAATATATGGATCAAGATTTATGCCCAACTCTAACTTGACTGATGTTTGTGATAAAGAAAGAGATCATTTGCTCATAAATATTGATAACAATGTAGACTGTAGTTGTGTAAGGACTTGATAGAGACTCTTCTTTTAGGTCAACCAGAATCTAACAGCACAGTTGTACCCACCACACCTGTTACAACACCTGGGAACATCACCATCGCTGAAGTGACAGCTGACATCCTCTCCACCACAACACCCGACAACAGCTCAGCAGTTGAGAGTGAGGTCCGTCTGGTTAACAGAGGGAACCAGTCCTGCTCTGGCAGAGTAGAGATCTTCCACCGTGGACAGTGGGGGACGGTGTGTGATGATCAATGGGGCCTGGCTGATGCTCAGGTGGTGTGCAGACAGATGGGCTGTGGCAGGGCACCATCAGTTGCCTATTTTGGACAGGGCAGTGGACCCATCTGGATGGATGATGTCTCTTGCACAGGCAGCGAATCAAAGCTTGGAGAGTGCAGGCACAGAGGGTTTGGATCACACAACTGTGGACACAATGAAGACGCTGGTGTCGTCTGTGAAGGTAAATATAATTGTTTCGATCTGTCAGAAATTCGTTATGGTGTTATATTCGGCAGAGAGGAGTTAAGTAATCAGGAACCTGATGGAGAAATATGAGTTTGATGCAAATATTATCGTCATGCCTTTCAACCTTTAGGAGTCTTTGTCCTGTTGAAGTAGATAGGTAGTATGTAGTTTTAACATATATCATTGTCTTTATGATGTTGAAGAGGGTTTTACTTGTCAGATAACTATTTGATTTACATGAAATATAATCTTTACACTTCTTAAGCTAGAGACTGTTACAATTTCTTTTTTAAACATCTTGTCTTTTGAAGTTGTCATGAATGTTAAAAAAAACAAAGGAGGTGGACCCTATTGCAGAAACTAACGTAAATATTTACGAACTGAAATATCCAAAAAGTCCAAAAGAAGAACACAAACCACGAGGAAACACTGACATCTACAACTAACATACAACAACTTACAATGATCTGAAAACACGAGGGAAGGAACACAAAGACTAAATAGACACAGGGTAATCAGACACAGGTGAGACGTATGACACAGGGAAACACAGAGACAGGAATTAAGACAAGAAACCCTGAGGACCAGAACTACAATATAAATCAGGAAACACTGAAGACACAAAGAGAACTCAAGAATGTAACAATAACAAAACACACTAGAACATAGAGAAGCACAAGAATATGTAATTACAAAATAAAACAGGAAACTCTAAAGATCAAACAAGGAAACATTGACACACAAGGGAAACAAGCAACACTAGAATAGACAATCATCAAGAAAGACAGAAAGTGACAACTGAGCAACACTAGGGAAGAATGAGAAATTAAAACAAGGAAAACTAAACACTGAAAATACACAACTAAACAAGACCATATCATGACAGAAGTCACTCTTTCTTGTGTCTCACATCATCAACATAATGTCTCATGTTTTCCGTCAGCTGCTGCACCAGTCAGGCTGGTCAACTCTAATAACCGCTGCTCTGGCAGAGTGGAGGTCTACCATGATGGTCGGTGGGGACAGTGTGTGACGATGCCTGGGACCTCAGTGATGCTAACGTGGTGTGTAGACAGCTGGACTGTGGCCCTCCTCGTTCAGCATTACTAAATGCAACTTTTGGACAGGGCAGTGGACCCATCTGGTTGGATGATGTTGGTTGTTCTGGCAACGAAATATCAATAACAGAGTGCAGACATCCAGGGCTTGGGGTCCACAACTGTAATCACGTTGAAGATGCCAGTGTCATCTGTGAAGGTTAATGTTTATACTTTTTTTAAAAACTCCCATTCTTGTTCTCCTATTTGTCTATTGAAGTGTTCTCGTGAATGAAGTCAAACACTGACCACATGTAATAAACGTTGTTTTGTAGCACTGTACATTCAAAGTGCAGTACTAGGTATAATATTTTAAATATATGGATCAAGATTTATGCCCAACTCTAACTTGACTGATGTTTGTGATAAAGAAAGAGATCATTTGCTCATAAATATTGATAACAATGTAGACTGTAGTTGTGTAAGGACTTGATAGAGACTCTTCTTTTAGGTCAACCAGAATCTAACAGCACAGTTGTACCCACCACACCTGTTACAACACCTGGGAACATCACCATCGCTGAAGTGACAGCTGACATCCTCTCCACCACAACACCCGACAACAGCTCAGCAGTTGAGAGTGAGGTCCGTCTGGTTAACAGAGGGAACCAGTCCTGCTCTGGCAGAGTAGAGATCTTCCACCGTGGACAGTGGGGGACGGTGTGTGATGATCAATGGGGCCTGGCTGATGCTCAGGTGGTGTGCAGACAGATGGGCTGTGGCAGGGCACCATCAGTTGCCTATTTTGGACAGGGCAGTGGACCCATCTGGATGGATGATGTCTCTTGCACAGGCAGCGAATCAAAGCTTGGAGAGTGCAGGCACAGAGGGTTTGGATCACACAACTGTGGACACAATGAAGACGCTGGTGTCGTCTGTGAAGGTAAATATAATTGTTTCGATCTGTCAGAAATTCGTTATGGTGTTATATTCGGCAGAGAGGAGTTAAGTAATCAGGAACCTGATGGAGAAATATGAGTTTGATGCAAATATTATCGTCATGCCTTTCAACCTTTAGGAGTCTTTGTCCTGTTGAAGTAGATAGGTAGTATGTAGTTTTAACATATATCATTGTCTTTATGATGTTGAAGAGGGTTTTACTTGTCAGATAACTATTTGATTTACATGAAATATAATCTTTACACTTCTTAAGCTAGAGACTGTTACAATTTCTTTTTTAAACATCTTGTCTTTTGAAGTTGTCATGAATGTTGAAACTAACGTAAATATTTACGAACTGAAATATCCAAAAAGTCCAAAAGAAGAACACAAACCACGAGGAAACACTGACATCTACAACTAACATACAACAACTTACAATGATCTGAAAACACGAGGGAAGGAACACAAAGACTAAATAGACACAGGGTAATCAGACACAGGTGAGACGTATGACACAGGGAAACACAGAGACAGGAATTAAGACAAGAAACCCTGAGGACCAGAACTACAATATAAATCAGGAAACACTGAAGACACAAAGAGAACTCAAGAATGTAACAATAACAAAACACACTAGAACATAGAGAAGCACAAGAATATGTAATTACAAAATAAAACAGGAAACTCTAAAGATCAAACAAGGAAACATTGACACACAAGGGAAACAAGCAACACTAGAATAGACAATCATCAAGAAAGACAGAAAGTGACAACTGAGCAACACTAGGGAAGAATGAGAAATTAAAACAAGGAAAACTAAACACTGAAAATACACAACTAAACAAGACCATATCATGACAGAAGTCACTCTTTCTTGTGTCTCACATCATCAACATAATGTCTCATGTTTTCCGTCAGCTGCTGCACCAGTCAGGCTGGTCAACTCTAATAACCGCTGCTCTGGCAGAGTGGAGGTCTACCATGATGGTCGGTGGGGGACAGTGTGTGACGATGCCTGGGACCTCAGTGATGCTAACGTGGTGTGTAGACAGCTGGACTGTGGCCCTCCTCGTTCAGCATTACTAAATGCAACTTTTGGACAGGGCAGTGGACCCATCTGGTTGGATGATGTTGGTTGTTCTGGCAACGAAATATCAATAACAGAGTGCAGACATCCAGGGCTTGGGGTCCACAACTGTAATCACGTTGAAGATGCCAGTGTCATCTGTGAAGGTTAATGTTTATACTTTTTTTAAAACTCCATTCTTGTTCTCCTATTTGTCTATTGAAGTGTTCTCGTGAATGAAGTCAAACACTGACCACATGTAATAAACGTTGTTTTGTAGCACTGTACATTCAAAGTGCAGTACTAGGTATAATATTTTAAATATATGGATCAAGATTTATGCCCAACTCTAACTTGACTGATGTTTGTGATAAAGAAAGAGATCATTTGCTCATAAATATTGATAACAATGTAGACTGTAGTTGTGTAAGGACTTGATAGAGACTCTTCTTTTAGGTCAACCAGAATCTAACAGCACAGTTGTACCCACCACACCTGTTACAACACCTGGGAACATCACCATCGCTGAAGTGACAGCTGACATCCTCTCCACCACAACACCCGACAACAGCTCAGCAGTTGAGAGTGAGGTCCGTCTGGTTAACAGAGGGAACCAGTCCTGCTCTGGCAGAGTAGAGATCTTCCACCGTGGACAGTGGGGGACGGTGTGTGATGATCAATGGGGCCTGGCTGATGCTCAGGTGGTGTGCAGACAGATGGGCTGTGGCAGGGCACCATCAGTTGCCTATTTTGGACAGGGCAGTGGACCCATCTGGATGGATGATGTCTCTTGCACAGGCAGCGAATCAAAGCTTGGAGAGTGCAGGCACAGAGGGTTTGGATCACACAACTGTGGACACAATGAAGACGCTGGTGTCGTCTGTGAAGGTAAATATAATTGTTTCGATCTGTCAGAAATTCGTTATGGTGTTATATTCGGCAGAGAGGAGTTAAGTAATCAGGAACCTGATGGAGAAATATGAGTTTGATGCAAATATTATCGTCATGCCTTTCAACCTTTAGGAGTCTTTGTCCTGTTGAAGTAGATAGGTAGTATGTAGTTTTAACATATATCATTGTCTTTATGATGTTGAAGAGGGTTTTACTTGTCAGATAACTATTTGATTTACATGAAATATAATCTTTACACTTCTTAAGCTAGAGACTGTTACAATTTCTTTTTTAAACATCTTGTCTTTTGAAGTTGTCATGAATGTTAAAAAAAACAAAGGAGGTGGACCCTATTGCAGAAACTAACGTAAATATTTACGAACTGAAATATCCAAAAAGTCCAAAAGAAGAACACAAACCACGAGGAAACACTGACATCTACAACTAACATACAACAACTTACAATGATCTGAAAACACGAGGGAAGGAACACAAAGACTAAATAGACACAGGGTAATCAGACACAGGTGAGACGTATGACACAGGGAAACACAGAGACAGGAATTAAGACAAGAAACCCTGAGGACCAGAACTACAATATAAATCAGGAAACACTGAAGACACAAAGAGAACTCAAGAATGTAACAATAACAAAACACACTAGAACATAGAGAAGCACAAGAATATGTAATTACAAAATAAAACAGGAAACTCTAAAGATCAAACAAGGAAACATTGACACACAAGGGAAACAAGCAACACTAGAATAGACAATCATCAAGAAAGACAGAAAGTGACAACTGAGCAACACTAGGGAAGAATGAGAAATTAAAACAAGGAAAACTAAACACTGAAAATACACAACTAAACAAGACCATATCATGACAGAAGTCACTCTTTCTTGTGTCTCACATCATCAACATAATGTCTCATGTTTTCCGTCAGCTGCTGCACCAGTCAGGCTGGTCAACTCTAATAACCGCTGCTCTGGCAGAGTGGAGGTCTACCATGATGGTCGTGGGGGACAGTGTGTGACGATGCCTGGGACCTCAGTGATGCTAACGTGGTGTGTAGACAGCTGGACTGTGGCCCTCCTCGTTCAGCATTACTAAATGCAACTTTTGGACAGGGCAGTGGACCCATCTGGTTGGATGATGTTGGTTGTTCTGGCAACGAAATATCAATAACAGAGTGCAGACATCCAGGGCTTGGGGTCCACAACTGTAATCACGTTGAAGATGCCAGTGTCATCTGTGAAGGTTAATGTTTATACTTTTTTTAAAACTCCATTCTTGTTCTCCTATTTGTCTATTGAAGTGTTCTCGTGAATGAATCAAACACTGACCACATGTAATAAACGTTGTTTTGTAGCACTGTACATTCAAAGTGCAGTACTAGGTATAATATTTTAAATATATGGATCAAGATTTATGCCCAACTCTAACTTGACTGATGTTTGTGATAAAGAAAGAGATCATTTGCTCATAAATATTGATAACAATGTAGACTGTAGTTGTGTAAGGACTTGATAGAGACTCTTCTTTTAGGTCAACCAGAATCTAACAGCACAGTTGTACCCACCACACCTGTTACAACACCTGGAACATCACCATCGCTGAAGTGACAGCTGACATCTCTCCACCACAACACCCGACAACAGCTCAGCAGTTGAGAGTGAGGTCCGTCTGGTTAACAGAGGGAACCAGTCCTGCTCTGGCAGAGTAGAGATCTTCCACCGTGGACAGTGGGGACGGTGTGTGATGATCAATGGGGCCTGGCTGATGCTCAGGTGGTGTGCAGACAGATGGGCTGTGGCAGGGCACCATCAGTTGCCTATTTTGGACAGGGCAGTGACCCATCTGGATGGATGATGTCTCTTGCACAGGCAGCGAATCAAAAGCTTGGAGAGTGCAGCACAGAGGGTTTGGATCACACAACTGTGGACACAATGAAGACGCTGGTGTCGTCTGTGAAGGTAAATATAATTGTTTCGATCTGTCAGAAATTCGTTATGGTGTTATATTCGGCAGAGAGGAGTTAAGTAATCAGGAACCTGATGGAGAAATATGAGTTTGATGCAAATATTATCGTCATGCCTTTCAACCTTTAGGAGTCTTTGTCCTGTTGAAGTAGATAGGTAGTATGTATTTTAACATATATCATTGTCTTTATGATGTTGAAGAGGGTTTTACTTGTCAGATAACTATTTGATTTACATGAAATATAATCTTTACACTTCTTAAGCTAGAGACTGTTACAATTTCTTTTTAACATCTTGTCTTTTGAAGTTGTCATGAATGTTAAAAAAACAAAGGAGGTGGACCCTATTGCAGAAACTAACGTAAATATTTACGAACTGAAATATCCAAAAAGTCCAAAAGAAAGAACACAAACCACGAGGAAACACTGACATCTAAAACTAACATACAACAACTTACAATGATCTGAAAACACGAGGGAAGGAACA